AAGCTGAGAAGCACTCTCAGCAAGCAAAGTGGCCCACAAGCAGCCCAAAAATTGCCTTCCATCATTGACTCCTTGTGAAGAACAAAGAGACGATGGGAAGAATTTTGCAGGAAAGAACTTCGCTGCTGGCCAGAAAATATTTCCTATACCTCCCATACCAAAGGTGACACCAAGGTAAATATAAGGCGGACAGACTAAACAATCCATTTTTGAATCAGGTTGATTGTCAGAATGCCAAGGAATGGCAGCAAATTGATTTCGAAGAAGAAAATGAAGAAACGAAGATAGAGGATGAAAAATGCAAATCATTTATAGGGGGTGAAGATGAAGAGACAGAATACGAATAGCCACATTTCTGTCTAATAAACGGAATTAAATAGCCCTAAGTTTTGGGAACAGTAGTGGGAATATCAAGAGGGAATGGACAAGATTCTTAGTGCAAAGCAGTTAAGTGCTTAAAGAATTGATGATTAAAAAATAAACGTCAAATAAATGCACAAGAAGTTAATGTTCATTAATAATGAACAAAGTTACAAAGAGAAAAATCGAATTACAAAAAAAAAAAAAAAAAAAAAAATCGTATGGGCCCCACCCCTTATGTCCGTCTTGGTATAGGCCTGTGAGCCTCTGTCTTGTACGTGAAGCACTCTCCGATTGATTTAGCGGTTGCATCAATTTCCTTTCTTCACATTAAACTTATAGTAAATTTTCGTCTTCAACTTGTTTTTCCTTCACTTTTCTAGCCCTGGTTTTAAGTTTAATTCTTTAAAAATTCATTCTCGCTAAATTCATTCTCAATTACATATTTTTCCAATAAAATAATTTTATACGTAAATTTTTTTTATTTTTTTTTAATCACACATTCTTCAAAAAAATCATTATTACAAAATTTATTTTTCCAAATAAATGTGGCTTAATCAAGACCTAATTGTTTGACTCCAAAGTTTGTATTTTCTGGTTTTCTTTTTGGCCTTAATTAGATAGACCATCCAAAAAAGATTAGTACCCTCCAGGGACTTTGTGAATGATATGGATGCCTGTCGCCCTCTTAACGTAAATAAAAAATTTCACCAGATAAACTTTTTCACTGTAATTTGACTTTTGAAGCGTGAGCACTACGCCCTTCACGGGTCTGCATCTAGCTCGCTAGCACGTTTTCTTTTGTAGGAGCTTGCTGTGCTGTCAAAAACCGTACACATAGAAACTGCACAGAATAGATACAGAAGGCGTGATTGGGGCATTTTTTTTTTTGGCATTTTATTATCATCACATGGGTCCTACATGTGAGATTTCTGACAAAAATCTGTGAAACGATTTTCTGTACACACAATATTTTTATTTGTAGAAAATTTTTACTAAGCGAGTTTGTGCTGATATATTAGAGGACTGTTGGAAATTGATGAAGAGAGGAGAAGTATAACAACTAATAACCAGCAACAAAATGTTGCAACAAATCTGGAACAAAATGATCACAAACAAATTAATGTAATACCGAAGGCTTGAATACGATATTGTTGTCATCAAATTGTATTTGCCCCCTCTCCTTTGTATGGGATGCTTCAAGTGATTGTCGGCAAATGATTTGTAGGATTATAACAAGCTTTGTAAGAGATTAACACCAAAGCACAAGTGTTATTTCCCAAAACTTGAAGAACACAAAGAGGGTTTTTGAATATGAATAAAAATCAGAATTTGTTTATCAAATGTTTTTTAATTAATTTTGCCTTCAATAGGGATCCACTATTTATAGGGAAGCCTCAAATGCACGAAAAGGTGCCAAAACATGAGCCAAAAAGTCATCAAGTTTGAATTGGCAACGGGAAAAAAAGGGTCAAAAATTAATACTGCGCGACCGCATGGTTATATTAAACAGGGGATTTAATTCCCTGGAGAGAGCCGTGCGGTTGCACGGCATTTTGCCTATGCGGTCGCACATGCCAATCTTGATTTTTGAACAATTTCTCAACAATCCCCCACTTGTTCAAAACTCAATAAGGTCTCAATTCCAAATATGCGATGCTCATGCCTAAGGATTAGATATCTTTCGATTTGAATCTATTCATAGTGTAATTCCTACAAAGTAAAGTCAAAATCAAAGGTGGTCGTAGCTTTGAACCAGTTATTCCATATGACAATACCGATAAGAACACACACATGAGCATCATGTGTTCTCAAGTTCCTCAATCTCGCTTAGTGCTTTTTATGACCTTACACTTATCCTTGTCAACAAACTTTTAAAAGAGAAACTCCAACTCTCAATTGAGGCGGCACCACCTCAAAGTTTGTATAGGTAAAGTTCTTCCAGCATCTTTATTACTTTTAGAGATGCTTGTGTTTTAGCACTGAACTTTATTAAGAGCTCGAGGCTCAACCCTCACTTCAGTAACAACTAGCATTATTTTTCTTTAGGATAGGATTATCACAAATTTTTATAATGCTGCAACTATCCATATATCGAATGACTTGTTGTTACCCTTTGAACCCATAGATTACCCCTTTGAGTAAGCGATGGGTAGGGTTGCCATCATTGGTGAATCTTTATGCTTTGGGAGTTTTAATCTTATCCTACTCGAAGTAGATGCCACTAAATCTCTATTTAGTGGTTTAGTTAAAGGATCCGCTAGATTCTCTATAGACTTAACATAATTTAAGGAAATTATTGAATCTTTAATTAATTTCCTTATGTAGTCGTGTCTTAGACTCATATGTCTAAACTTCCCGTTATATATCTCATTGTATGCTTTAGCTAATGTGGCTTGACTCTCACACATGATAGGTATAGAGGAAATGCCCTTCATTCCCAATGGTATCTCATAAAAGAGATCCTTAAGCCACTCAGCCTCTTTCCCGGTCTCCGACAACGCTACAAATTCGGATTCCATAGTTGAGTGTGTTATGCATGTTTGTTTCTTTGACTTCCAAGAAACTGCACCTCCTTCTAGAGTGATCACCCAACCCGATGTGGATTTACTTTCTCCCACGCTAGATATCCAACCAGTATCGGTAAATCCTTCCAACACGGCCGAGAATTTAGTATATTGCAGGCCTAAGTTCTTGGTCTTCTTTAAATATCCAAGAACTCTCCCAATAGCCTTCCAATGTTCATTGCTCGGATTGCTAGTAAACCTACT